TACCTTTTGCAGAATCTGCATGTATTGTCAGTTGCAGATAAAACGTGTAGATTTCAGATTTCCAGTTGCGTACTGGCGGGTATGTCCCGATTTTTATTGGTTGCATCACCAGTTATTGTTTGGTAAAAACCACCAGATTTCTTGTCCTCAAATCTGCAAATCCTCAATTTTTGGTCGGTTTTTCCTCCATAAAATATTTCAAGTGATAATTTACCCAAAATAATTTTGAGGTGCCCCTCTTTTTTAGACATACCCAAGTTTGTCCAAGTCAAATTTCAACAGGCTCAGGTTGAGTGTCTCCAGTAATCATAATATCAAGTGTTGGTTATTCCTGGGTTATTCCTTCATTTTTCATGCTAACCCCCAGTACTCCCAACAATTGATCATAGAAATCAGGTGTAACTTCTCTACAAAATCGGTGTTCTGATTTTCCTGATCCACGTTCTCTATGGCAACAGAACTGTCCAAAGAGGTGTAGATCATCAAAATCATTGATTATATAATAGTAATTACTAACCATTACTAACCATTATTAACCATCATTAGCCATTATTAACCAGTATTAACCATGGCTAACCAATATTAACCATGATTAGCCAGTACTAACCAGTATTAACCTTTGTTAACCATCATTAACCATTGTTAACCATTGTTAACCACTGTTAACCATCACTAACCATCATTCACCATGACGCTCCCAAGATGTGATGTATTGTTATGTGATGTATTGTTATGTGATGTATTATCATGTGATGTATTGTTATGTGATGTATTGTTATGTGATGTATTGTTATGTGATGTATTGTTATGTGATGCATTGTGATGTGATGTATTGTCATGTGATGTATTGCTATGTGATGTGTTATGTGATGTATTGTTATAGTATTGTTATGTGATGTATTGTTACCGCACTACACTTCATCCGTAACTCGGAAGTTTGCTTCCCAATTTCCTTTGATTAGCCATTGTGAACCACTGTTAACCATCAGTTATCATTTTTAACCATTATGAGCTATTATTAACCATTATTAACCACTATTAACCATCATTAACGATCATTAACATCAGTAACCATTATTAACCATCATTAACCATTATTAACAAGTATTAACCATTGTTAAGAATTGTGAACCGTTATTTTATAACCATGGTGAAAACCAGTCCCATCATTCACCATGACATTCCCAAGATTTCCAGGTGTGGATCATCAAAATCGTGGCTGCCTTCCTTTCTGCCTTGGAGCGGATCTCCCCGGAGCGACGCTCCGAACTGTTGGACCTGAAAGATTCCTGGTGGGTGGTTTTTCGGATGGTGAAGGATGGCTGATGGACCATTGAAAATTTAGCCTGGTTGATTGGTTACTAGAGGGACTTATAAATATACTACCTAATTCACTGGGGATTATGATGGGCCCCATGGTAGGGAAACCTTTTTCAACCAACTAGTATAATGACATGGGATAGGGGTATTTTTAATGGTTCATTTTTTATGGGAAATATAATATAGGAGATCTATGTTTTTTTTGGGAAGAAATGCAGAACACCTTTGTTTCAACATTTTGCGGAGAACAAGATAGGACATCGATGGACAATGGGCATTTTATGTAAAAATGTAGGAAATCTATGAAAAAAAAAATGATGGAAACATATAGGAAATCTATGGAACATTTGATTTTCTGGACAATTTGAGGAAATCTATTGAAACGGGGAATTTTCAGCGAAACATATAGGAAATTTGTGAATTTTATGGATGATGTACAGGAATGGACATTGTACCAATACGGATTCCTTTTTGGACCGTTTATGTGAATTAGATTTTGGAATGGTCTATCTATTGTAATGGCTTCTCCTGGGAAATGGATGAGACTTACCTACCAGGATGGAATGGCGTACCATGTTGACAAACCTAGATGACTTTTGTTTCAACCTGGCTGTGCCCATACATGGTACATTTTAATCTTCCAATGGGTAGGGATGATTACACAGCAAGACATTTCCTGATGTTCGAAACCCGCCTGGGATAGGGATCAGAATCCCAAGTGATCCGCTCATATTGGGAATGGGTTGATGATGGGAGATCCACGGAGACTCCAGCATTTGAAAAACATCTTCCTTTTTTTGTTGATGTTCCAACAACCTCCAAGGATGTGGCTGTTCACAGGGTCTACTGGTAGCTCGTGTTGACCCAGCGCGGGGCAAGTGGCGTGACCACTTGAACACCCTGCGTTTTGGTACCTAGAAGTGACCAGAAAACGTCCACTTGTGTAGTTTTTTTATCTGTGGAGCGGACGGCAAGTGTCGTGTTTATCAAACTTTTGGGTGGTGCTCATTTGTTGACATAACACCAGTCACGCTTGGCCTGACCAAGCTGCTGGATGTTGGCCCAACTTTGGGAATCACCGTTCGGAGAATGCGTTTGGGCCAAGCAAACATGTACAGGGCGTTGTACAGTCTAATTAAGATTTAGTTAGGCCGACAGGACGTGTTTTCCATCTTGTCAGCTACGCCTGTCAAGATACAGAATTTTGGACTGCGAACGGGTCCTCATGGGGGAGTGTTTTTTTCTCTAAACAGGGTTACAAAATCTGGCATTTTTTTGTTATGTGACAAAGTCAAGGTGGGGCTTAAGGCTTAAAACTTAACTCAGCAAGGGCTGTCATATGCTGTCACATCTACAGACTTTTGTGATAGAGTTCAACTTTTCATTTGAGGCTTACAGAGAAATACAAGCAATCACTTGCAATTTAAAACACAATAGAAAAATAGAAAAACGTCTGCTGCACCACATGCTATAAAAATGGGTAGCTTGTGCATCTCGGAATAGAAGTATACAGTATCAATAGATGGATAATAAATGGCTAGTGTGAAAGAGGCAATGTATAACTTTGGTTGCTGGAAGCATTTGATATGATATAGTGGTTTATTCATCAACTTGCTTAACTGGTATCATGTCAGCACACAAATTGTATATTACAACAGTTCATTTACTCTATGATAAACATGTAGGCGTTCATCGGGATACATGCAACCACATAACAATCTATCTAAGAAGGGGTGGGAATGTTGCAACTCAAGACCTAGGGTAGACCTGTCCAGTTTTTTTAAAGTCTTGCAGAGCTTTGCAGAGAAACACATGTTTTTCGTTTGGTGCGTATGCAGGTTTGATGCATCTAGTTTTTTTTCCCCTGCGCCTGTAAGTGTTTTGTGAGGTCAGAGTCACCAAACCTGCACAGGCACCTAAGAAATACCCCCCAAGAAAAACACCAGATGCCCAACCTGCACAGGTCTTGTAATGACTAAAAACGGTGTTTTACCAGGGTTTCAGCCCATCTAAGTGCATACAAGATCGGTATTTGCAGTGGTTTATTTTATGATCATGCTTCATGAAAATTCACTCTCCCATGGGAACCCGCTCTCGCGGAAAACTACAGCCTTTTCGATGAACGACGCCGATAGGGACTTTGGCTTGTGTCCACAGTGGTTTCACATGATGTGCACAGGCAGAAAGGCAGGTACCATTCATCGATGGAATGGTTGAGATAGTTGGACAATGTTGGAAAAAAGTGCAGCAACATTCCTTGCCGCTTGCCGCTACATGTCTTGCTGGAGCCGGATTTTTTGATTCAAAAACATCTACAGGTCCCACCTTTTTGACCCTGTTGTGAAAACAGCGCAGAGTACCACTGCATTCCCACAAGAAAGAATTCTTAAACGTTTTCCATGGTCCTATTCTCCAAGAATTGGACGAAGAGAACGCCACAGATCCTTCAATTTTGTGGAATTTCATGGATTTTCTGCTCAAGGAAGTCGCTGTTTGAATGGGCCGCTAGAGCTGCGGGTCTTAGGCGACTAGGGTGGCTGGCACCCAAACACCAGACAGCCGTTACAGGCGGGTGTTGTTGGGGTGAGCATATCAAAACAAATGCATCACCAGGTTGGGGTTGTTCAACTCTTGAAAGATCTGCTGAAATCTGAGAATTTCTCCATTAGGTTGAGTAGTTATGAGTAGTTTGAGAGAGCTAAGTGACTGTTGTTGTCACTCTTTTTCGCCATGAAGGGATGGCTGAACCTGCCCAGCCCCTGCCCACGAAATTTGGGGGTTCTGTGGTCCCAAACTCCGGTAGCAGCCGGTCAACCTGAATACAGTAGGTAGTGGAAGTACCCTCTGGTTATTTAACATAGCCATGGGAAATGGCCCATTTATAGATGCTTTACCTATTAATAGCATGGTGATTTTCCATGGCTATGTTACGTAACCAGATGGTAATTGAGATGATTCACTTCAACCAACAATGTTTGATGCTGGATTCCCTATGTTTGGTGCTGACTTCCTGTGTGTGAACCCCCGCTTTCTTGGTTGCAATTCCAATAAATTCGTTAGTTCGTTAGCGGTAATCCGCGGAAATCCACAGTTTAACTAACTTGCGGTTAGTTGGTTCAGTAAACATCTTTTTTGGATGCTAATAAACATGGTTCAGCTGGCATCCACTATTTTTCCAGTTGACAATTGTCCTCATCATTCCTATCATTTCTCACCATTTTAGCACCTTATATCCCTACCATATCCCCATTATGGTTAGTTTAATCCCAATACAACAGCCATAGTTGGTTCATTCATAGGTTATCCGAATTTTATAACCAATATACAACTATCACTATTATCACTGTTTGGGGATTATCGCCAACAACTATTTATTGATTATAATATGTATGTCCCATTATATATCCACATGATTTCCCCATCATTGTTAGTTTATGTCCTTGTTATGGCAATGGGTAGTTTAATCAATTTTTAGTTCCCATAGTTTAAGTATATTCCCACAGGTACTGTAAACTTTATTGCCGAGAGAAGTGTTAGAAAAATCCTAGTAGTTCACCAGTACATCACCTTATCCCCATTTTATCCGCAATAGTTATCACCAGTAAAAGACACCATTGGGGGATTATCCCGCTAGCTGTTGTAATTAATCGGAGTGGGGGTTAGTTCACGTGTAGCTAGCACTGGAAATCACGGATTGCTAATTGTTAAATAATGTGTTTGCGTTGTTACTTTAAATCCGCAATTCATCGGTAGGTTAGTTGGTTCCACCCCCCGAGTTCGAGCGTTGTGGTTGTGGTCGCTAGGTGCTCATGACAGCGATGGTGCGGCTTTCCCAGTTCCTGGAAGGGGCCGGATTTGACCAGAATTTAACCAGCCAAGCATGGAGATTTCACCATCTGGGCAGTAATGGAAGGGTACGTATTGGTCAAAATTGAATGGATGTCTACATGTACATGTGTGCGTTGCATGTATGTGTACATGGTTGTATATGTATATGGACATTATAATATATATACATACATATGATACACATGCCTAGAAGTAGGTCGGTTCTAATTTGAGATACCCTTACAAGCCGCTTTGAAGCTCAATTCGCCTGCGCAGATGGTCTCACTTTTTTCCGCATTTTTCAGCACTCTCAACTCAATCCAAAAAATCACCGAGTTAGCTGTATAGGACTGTATAGGATGAATATTTGTTATATAATTGATTATAATTGTGAGTATCATTCCCACGATTTATCCTCTTTAAGTTTACAGTTGTATCACGGATAGGTTATTTTTCATATCCATTATATCAATGTTGTTGGTCATCAATTATACAAGGTGGAGACCCCAGTTATAAGTTGGTTTAAAAACCGGATTAACTATAGTTATATTCCACCAAAACAATATATATATATATACGCATACATTGATGTCATTTTATTTCCTTTATTTATGATCCGGTAATCAAACGTGGCTAGCTGGAAAATCCCCAAACTAAATGGAGGTTTATAGCTGGGAAATTCATCTATACGTGGGTGACTTTCAACTGCCAACCACGTTTGATTCCCATGTGGTAACAATATCCATATTGGTAGGTTATATAACTCAATGGCCATTTCAGGTACCTAAATTGGAGGTACTTACCATATATAAGGCCTATGTAAGGCCTAGGTAAGGAAATATCCCCATAAAATATGGCCTTATATGGTACCGTACCTCCATTTTTGGATACTTGAAGAACCACAATTATAGGGGCTATATCCCAACTGATGGAGGTTAAAATCCGATAGTTGTAGCTGTTAATAACCCCAACTGCACCCCCAAGAAGAATATATCCCTTCAGTTTACAACCAATAGAACTACTATGGTTCATTGTAGATATGGCTATGAGTCAAAATCGGGTACTCCAAGACTTAGATGGTTAAGACATGTTAAGACTAAAAATTGGGAAAAAACTGAACAGTCCCCTGGGTCTTAAATGGTCTTGACCCATTCCCATAGTTCACTGATCTTCCAGCCCAGGTGATGGGAATGGGAATGGGAATGGGCCGCGGGCTGGACCCTTTGCAGGTGCCGGAGGGAACAAGGAATTCAAGAAGATTTAACCGGATATGATGGGGATATAATGGGATTTGATATATATATATATATACATATTGTATATTATATATATACATATTGTACATATATATATATACACATACACACATATATATAGATTAGATAGATAGATAGATAGATAGATAGATAGATAGATAGTTGGATTTGACATACTGGGATTCAATATACTGGGGTTACTACAAACAGGGATAGAATTAGATCAAGTAAAATTGTATATCATGGGGATATAATAATGGGATACAATGGAATATCATAGGGATACAATGGAGTACATAATGGGGATACACGCAAAAATGCGTGGATTTGACGAATCAAATGCAGGGATTTGAACTCCGGGAGCTAACCACGAAACATGGTACTTTGACAAGTCATCTGTTTCCCATCAGGTTTGCTGATCCCTTGACCAAAGTCAGGATGACCATCTTAAGGGCTTCGGAACCATTCAACCAACTCATTCAGGCGATGTTTTTTGGGGGCCACCTGTCACAGGGTTCCCAAGCTCTACCAACATCAGCTTGTTGGGAGCGAAACACGATCAAAGCAAGAAAAACTTCAGGGGACCGGGCGACAACAACGAAAATTGGGTTGATTTCATCAAGCAAACATGGGTGTGTTCACTTCCTAAGTTCACTACATTCAACTGACCTGAAGGATAGTCTCCGAGGCCACCAACAAAAATGTTTATTTCACCAACAATCATTCACCATGTACCAAAAACAAACAGGACATCTGGATAATTTAGAGTCCCAAAGTTGAGTTGAGTAGATCAAAGATGATTCAACAATTTCGGCCATGGGGACATCCCCGAACTTGCCATGGAGGTTTTGTTTGCCATGTGTGATGACACCGAAGGGCTGGATCACGTTCTTATTGATGAAATCCATATTTTTTGATAGCTTCAAATCATTCAAATCCCGATTCTTGCTGGTGAAAGTCCAGTTTTCATAGGTTCCATCCATTTTTTGTTCGAAGCCAACCGGTGTCAGGGCCAGTGGACCTGCCAATGCGGCTTCCGTAGCTTAACGAGAAAGGGATTGAGAGGGGTGCTCCATGGTTGAGACCCTTTGGACCTGGCAAAACATCACGGTTTTACACAACCAACCGGTGATTAGCGGTTTCAGATGGTTGATGATATACTTCGTGGACTCTGGAGATTTTCGACGTTGGCCAGTTGGATTTAGTTGCTGTGATGGATAGCTGGGTGAAGAATCGGTTGATAGTCGTTGATAGGTCGATTTTTAAGTCACAACTGATGGGGACAACAAATTGGAGGATACACAATTGCCAATTGACCTCAGAACTCATCCGAGGAAATCAATGAACTGAGGCATTTGCTGTTTTCACATTTCCATATGATATATATTTCCCCGTGATTTTTGTTCGGCTTAGATGGAAGGCTTTCTTTTTCCCAATGGGCCAATGTTATTTTTCCAGTTTGAGAAAAACAGGAACCCCCCATGGAAATTTCGGCTTTTTGCCGAGGCAACAGAGACATGAACCAAGTTTGTGGTGGCAACGGCCCCATGGGCTGCAAGACACCCAAGCCGAAGGGCGCAGCGGGCGCAGCGGGTGCGGGGACCAAGGGGGGATCAACAGAATTTGAGCATGGAAATTGAGGTTTCCCGGGGTTCAGCATGGAATTTACCGTGTGAAAAATGGGGATTCAACATGAAATTTAAGAATGAAAGATGATGAAAGATGGCTTTTAAGCATTTTTGAACATGATTTGAGACAACCTTAAATAGCACGCAAGACTTATGAAATTAGGAGGCTATGGTTAGTCATGTGAAATGTACCCTCTGGTAAATCAACATAGACCCTGAAAATCACCGATGTTTAATGGTTTCACTAGTCTTCCAACCCCGATGACTGCCAGGGTCTATGTTAATTTACCAGAGGGTAACCGTTAAACAGCTGTTTCAGCTACAAAACAACCTACCTCTTTGGAATCATGGCTGAGGACCGGGTGCGGTACCATTGGCCTTTCAGGCGCAACGAAAAAATGGTGATTTTTAGAGTTGTTGCTTCAGTTGAAATGGTGGAAATGGTGGCTGTTTCTGGGGATAGAATTGGGGATAGTAACTGGCTATAGCTATGGAAATATGGAAACTGGCCCATTTAAGGGTAAGAAGGGAGAATAATGGGATGTGAATGGGAGAGTAATGGATTTACCCTCCAGTAGTCAAATGTTGCAAGCTTGAAAATCTCCAAAAAATAAATGGAGGTCTATAGCTGGGATAATCTATAAATCTGTGGTATTCTCCAGCTATGTTTGATTACGGGAGGCTACACACATAGATGTCTAGATGTATAGATGTGTAGATATGGTCATTTAGTTTGCTTGATTATACCTGTAATTATGTATACCTTGGTATCGTAGTATCTTAAGATGGTCATTTTATTCATATCTGAAAGAATCTTTATGATTTGAGATCTCATTGCCCTGGTTTCAGTTGCAATATCAAGCGTGAACATTTTCCATAGGATCACGGTGCCATTTGGAAGGTCTCTGAATACTGAACTTTAGCGCGAAACCATCAGTGATGGCAACATGGGAACATGGCAGGAAGGCATCATGGCACGAAAACAACTCATACCAGAATCCCTCTGTCCATTTTGAAGCCAAACAGGTCCCACCCAAAAATCTGCAGCCACGGATCCGAAGAAATTACTAAACTGCCCCAACAAAAGCAACAACAAATGGCACTTGGATCAGTTCCAGGGCAAGTTTTTGGATCGCAATGGAGTTGTGCCACTTGGAATCCATCGGTCTTCCCATCCAGCGCCTGAACGGCGCGGGGCTGAACGGCGCGGGCCCAGCGAAGGCACCGCAAGTGAAACCAGCCGCACTGAACGGCGCCAAAAGCGACCGGGAGATGAAACCCCAAAACGCCCTGCAGCAACCCGCCGCCCATGCCACGCGACCTTTGTACATGGATGCTCGGGTTTGCTGGTGTGGGGGATTTTCTGGAAGTTTCGATGTTCTGAATTTCTTGAAGTTTCACAAATGACAAACCCCTATGACTGCAGCCTCCAATGTGTCAGCTCCAAGGATGGGACCTACGTGTTTCACTGCGAAGCTTCGGTGGAATTGCTGCAACTCAAGGAGGAAGATCCATCGATTCTGTTGGTTGAGCTGGAACAAACCATCTTCCACCCACAAGGAGGTCGACGGATGGCTGGGAAGTAGGAAACGACGTTTTTTTTGTGCTACAATATGGGTCCGTAAATAGGGGACATGAGGATAATCGGAATTGGGGTACCCTATTTTCAGCCAAACCCATATACCTGGAAGCGCCAAAAAAAAGTTTTTGGAGACTTAAGCACTGGAAAAACATGTCTCAATCCATAACCCAACATTGTTACCCACATTTTTATTTCAACATGTGGCCAACATGTTACCCATCATATCATCACCAGCAACATATCCGATATCGCAGGTGGTCAACCCAGCGACACGGGGATCTTGAAGGCAGATGGTCTGCCGGATCTCACGGTGACCTTTGTGTGCAAAGACAAAGCCAAGGAGCCGAAGGGGGCTGGGAAGCTTGAGGATGATGGCAACCAGCAAATTGGATTTTACCATAGATACACTCTGGTAATTTAACGTAGCTATTGAAAATGGCCATAGAAATAGTGAGTTTTCCCATTAAAAATGGTGATTTTCTATAGCTACGTTAGTTTACCAGAGGGTATGTGTGATGATTTCATCATATTTCATATGGATTTCGTGCAACTTGCCAAATTATTCTTGGGATGAGTTGTGTGTATTCACCGTGATTGTTGCGAAAATATCCCCAGTGATCACCATAAAATCCCATGATATTCCATGATCATTCGGCTGTTTTAGCCATACTTCATCATATTTCCATGATGATCTCAGTCATCTGAATCTCAGGAGGGTGTGATTCGCCACGAGTGCAAAGGCTCCACAGATGAGCTGCAAAAGTGGTTGCGACGCTCCCAGGACCGGTACATCAACGAGGATTAAACGGGGATTTCACCAGCAAGAACTACGAATTTAGGCAGCAACAAAAATGGGGATTGAGCCTAAAACAAAGATGGTGGATTTATGGCGACTTTATATAATTGAGATGATGATTGATGGATATTGATGGTGACTTTCAGCAAACATGGTGATACATTTGTGCTCACCAATCCATATACATCGACTGTCGACCCATAAATCCGCTCGCCTACTGAAAACCAACAGAAACCAATCCTTGGGGGCCCTTCTTGCAACAACAATGGTGGATTTACAGTGATTTTGCAAACCCAAATAGGGATTTTATTTGCTCAGACGTGGAATTTAGTCCAAGAACAGGTGAAAACCCACTACGGGTAAACTGACTGGTGGAGAGCGAAAACCAAAGCCACTGATCTTCTGAACCAAAGTAAAGTACACATGCTCCGTTAAAATAAAACTAGGTTTTTAGAAGAGATATAAATCACTATAACTAGATAAAATAGGTCTAAGTTCGTTTTTCTCCTCACTTTCCACCATTTTTTTCTGGTGGAAAGCCGTTCTTTCACCCATGTCCTCGTTGAAAGATCGTCTCCCTTAACGGCCGTAACCGGCCAGGCGTCGGCTCTCCAGGTGCGTTGCCTCGTGGATGAGCTGCAGCGCCGAAGGAACGCGCGGCTGCACTCGGCGGGGCATCTGTTGGACGTGGCCATCTACGAACTGGGATTCAGGTGGGGCTGGTTATATGGCAGGGGTTGGTAACTGTCCCATTTTGGGAATATTGGACATCACCTTATAGTAGCCATTATAGATCATATACCCTCTGGTAAACGTTTACATAACTATGGAAAGATCCACCATTTTTAATGGGAAAATCCACTATTTCTATGGCCATTTTCAATAGCTATGTTAAATTACCAGAGGGTATATGGTAGGTGGGTTATGACTAACATAGCCATGGTATAGGTTCATATAGATTCTAGATGGCCCATAGAAAATAACCAGATGTATATGGTGGGTTATATGAGTGGGTTAATGGTGTTGGTTATATGGTAGTGAATATGGGGGTTGATGGTGGTTCTGATGGTGGTGAATATGGGGGTTATAGTGCTGGTGATATGAGTGGTGAAGAATATGGGATAGTTCATGGTTAATGGTGATGATATTAGTGGTTCTATTAGTGGTTAGTGGTGGTTAATTATATAATGTTTAATTAATGTTATTGGTGGTTAGGAACTGCTTAGGAACTGGGGTTATTCCATGACATTCCATGTTATTTCTATATATTTCGATATTCAAGAAACTATAATATGAAGCTATTTGATTGATCCTCCAAGTACTGTAGTGGTTCATAGGGGTTAATATTGGTGAATGGTTATATAATAATATGGGATAGTTGATGGTTAATGGTGGTTAATGGTGCTTAAGGATGGTGGGTGATATGCTGTATGTATATAATTATATATATATATATATTATATTACTATCTATTAATCATATTTTGGTGGGATGATCCTCCAAGTAGTGGGTTTTTTTCGTGGCCAATGGTGGTGTTTCTGCACCATACGGATAGTCAATGGCTAGTAACCGGGGTTAGTTCACAATCTTCGAAATGGGATAAGATGTATGGGATGATCTTTTCTTGATTCAGAACAAGAAAACCCATAGGCTGGTTGGTGGTTTGGAACATTTTCCATCTATTGGGAATACTAAAAATCATCCCAACTGACGATATCAAAAAAAAATTAGAGGGGTAGGTTCAAACCACCAACCAGTAGGTTATGAATAGTATTCTGGGTGGGAGCAATTTGGGGTGACACAACTCTTTGTTTTTCACCAGAATGGGGATCTTCGGCAACGCGGTGAGATTTTCCACGGAAACATCAACATGGAGATGTAACCAACCATGACAACTGGGGATTCAGCACTTGACAACTGGTGATTTTACTCGGACATTGGGCCTTTTATCGCACCCAAGAAGTGTTTTTTTCTCCAGAAACTGTGGTGTTTCCAGCTGCAGCTGGTCAGGTGGCAGGCTGGAAAGGGATATCACTTCGAGGAGGGACCCTATGTGGAGTACATCCCGACCAAGGAGGGAAGACAGTTTCTCGAAAAATGACTTTTTTCAGGGCGAACATTTTTTCGGGAAAGAAACATCGACTTCCCCATTGAATGGCCAACCATCAGACACACCCAGATTTTTTTCGGATCATCCCATCTAACCATCCTGTTGTTCACCTGTGTTCCTTATTCAGTACCATGATCATGGTACATTTTCTGTCCACGGTGATTGTGAAGTCTAGGAAATATAGTACATATACAAATTATACAAGGATTTTTCAAGTTATACAAGGATTGAAATCATCAGCTGTTAAAGTACTACTGTACAGAGATTGCAACTAGACTATCTAGATTGCAACTAGACTATCTAGATTGCAATGTTTTTTTTTAAATACATTATCAGCTACAATCAGCATCAGTCGTTACTATTCCTGATCCCGTCGGATAGAGACAGCGACCCTTTGATAGCAGGACAGCAGCAGGACGGACAGCAAGACAGGAATTTCGACGTGAGAAAAAGATAAACTGCAAAGGTGCAACATTTGCAAATTTGCATAGTTTGCAAAATTCATTTGTAACTTTGCAAAATTTGCGAACTTTGCAGAAATCCGGTGGGTTGGTGCTTGGGGTACCTTGTCCTTGTGTCTCGTTTGCTTGCCAGCCTCTGAAAATTTCCTTTGTGGCTCGTTTCGTGCCGTTTGGTGCTTGCACCTGCTTCGTCGCTGGTTTTTTGGCGCTTGCCTGTTTTGGCGCGGTTTTCTTGATGGTTAATCCCATAATCGCAGAACGATCCCATCAATTACAGTAATATCATATTGTTGTGTAGTTCTATCTCATTAAAGCTTCCCATTCAAATCCATTAAATCCCAACTTTTTGTTCTGGTCCAATCCCCCCTCCCAGGTTAGATGTGAAGGATGCCAAGGCGAAGGATGCAGCCATCACTGAGATCTCGCAGAAGATGAAGGCGAGCCACCATTGTTTTGGCTCCAAAACTGCTGGGGAACTAATGGAGATGTCTGGACCTCTCTTGGATTGAGGAAATGCTTGGGACATGTTTTTTTTTTTTCCCCCTCTCCTGTGAAATTTCTGCTTGGTGAGATATTCTTGGATACCCCATATTTTTTCGGACGATAATTGTTGTTTTGATCCCCAGTTCACTTTTGTTCCTCTTCAGCCCATCTATGTTGGTAGCACCAATTCTTGCAGCCCCACATTCTTTTTTTCTGCATGCCTTAAATGCAGTCAACATTGACATTCACCCCAGTCATCATTAGAAACCAGTAGAAACCATTAAAAACCATTTAAAACCATTAGAAACCATTAGAAACCATTAGAAACCATTAGAAACCATGACAATTTTGATGAACACTCGATGATATGTTGACCCGAGAATTTGGGTCCAACGATCTGAATCCGGGGGTCTTCATCTCCACAGAAAACGCAGAAAGTAAGTGGATAGTAGCGATATTATACGACACTTATATATTACTGTACATCCCCAGGTATTAATATATATATATATATAATATATTATATATAATATATATATAATATATATTATATATATATATGGGTTGCTGTAATGGATGTGTATATATGTATATATATATATAGAGGTATGTATGTATAAAAACCCAGCTTAGCTATCAGCAAGCGACTACATCCATAGACATTACCATCGCCAGGAGTTGATCGCCAAGAACGTCCCCACAGAGGTGGGTTTTGTGGACGGCATGCGCACGGTGAAAATGGAGGGCGTCTCCTGTGGCTGCGGTGGCACCCACGTGGAGGGCAGCGGTGAAATTGGGGAGGTGCAAAAGGGATTGGGAAATTCTGGGTAGATGTGAACATGGGGATTTTTTGATGGGGGATAATCATGGGATTCTGCGGGATTTTAGAGGATTTTTTTTGGATTTTATCGGATGTTTATAGAATTAAATGGGGTTTTGTAGTGAAAATCGTGGGGTTATTTAATGTGGTCTACTCTCATTTATGGGAATCTAATTGGGATTGTGACAATGGGGATATATAACCATATGATGTTTGGGATTACTTATACTTTGGAGAAATCAAGCCCTAACAAAACAGTAACAGATGACCCTTTCGAGGTGAGACACATGAGACATTGACTAAAGGAGCAGCCATCCAATCAGTGGTTCATTCGTGGACCACGCAATTTTGGGCTTGAATTCGAGCAACTTCTATTTGTTTTGGCTTTGCAATGAACGATAAACACATCCGACAACCATCTTAGTTGATATTAAATAATTACAAATTCTAAACATACATATTGCAATACTACTGTAACTGGTGCTTAGTAGGGAATAGGGGAATGGGATGATGGTTAGTTATAGATCATTCCCCATATTCCCCCATCTTGATTGACCCAAGTTAGATGTGCCACTGTGGATGGAAGAAATCCTGCACCACCAAAAGGATGGTAGATGATGGTAGAACACCTATAAATAATGGGGTAAATCACCTATCAGCTGGTGGATTTCGCAACCATCCACAGCAAGTCTACTGTAGGTGTCCATCAAGAAGAT